AATATAAATAATAACCAATTGTCAGAATTAAATCTTGTTTTCTGTGTAACAAAGTCTATTTACTGATACAAAGATCAATCAATATAATTAATCATTGTACCTATGCATAAAGTGTAGACACTTTATCCTCCTCAACTAGTTAGAAATCGATACTTAAAACGCTGAGTGGTGTGATTCGAAATGAACTGTAAATAGTTTACTACTTTGTACCTATTTAAACTTCGCCTACGTCTTCATCCCTTCCGTTTGGTCTATTTTCAGTACTTTGTTCATTTTTATGAAGAAAGAAAAAGGGTGTGTGTTTCTATAATCATGTCACTTGATAGTTGAAATAAGAAATAATTTGGACTGTAATGAATTGATCATGCTAATGTATTTTGTGCTCTCTCTCTCTCTCTTTCTCTGCGTGTCAAATATGTATTTTCACAGATTCTGAAATATTGTAGCTTACATTGAAAATATTAACTGAAAATGGACTGAAATACTTCAGTTTCATTTGACAAATAGTGAAATGATAAACCTTGTTCTTTAAGTAAAAGAATACACCTCGCAATATCATACTTCAAACGTTCTACATAATCATGGGAGTGATCTCAACTAGTTACATTCATGAAACTTACAGCAAATAAACTTTGCGTAACATTTCTAACTACTTATGAGTAGGTGGATTTATCTTGAAACATTTGACTTCATGGTTTCAAGTAGTATCTGTGACAGTTCTCAGAACATTTCAATGTGAATCTGTGATATATAGATATAAAAGGTCGAGAATGAGACAGAAAATTATTAACAACAGTGAATGATGATTAAACCATCTTAAAGACTTACTCAGATCTAGAATTTCAAAAGGTTGGATTTCGATTCCTATACGACATCGTAGATTTGATACAGACAAGTTAAAAAAATACACTGAGTTTAGTAAGTAGTACTCCATGACTTTTCTGGATCTGTAAGTATTATCAGTCTGTAACGATAATCAGCTTTGGAATATTTCATCACTGAAACAATATTTTCTTTGAATCTTTAATCTTTCTTGCATTGTTTAGATTTAAAGAAGTGTTCAACAACAACTCTACCAGGATTTTGCTAAGAAAATAATATCTGAACTCATATATATTGATATTTTTCTCAGTGAAACTTATTTCTACATGTAGAAAAAGTGAAAGAGATAACTAATCCAAATCCATTGAAGCAGTGGCTTAGAAATTGATAATGGCAGGTAAGTCTAGTCAAATAACATGTTGCGAAATCAGAAGAGGCAAATTTTTTCGATATCACATCGTAAGTAAAGAATATGATAATTCATAAGGTTAATTTAAGAGTGAATAACGACTCGATGAAAATAGTTTGATGAGTTTGTCTAAAAGTCATACGGGCTTGACGTGTTAGCACACACAAAAGTGCATGGATCCTGGATCTTGAGGAGAGAGATTGTGCATGGACTCATTCTTCACCATCAGTTACCATGGGACCGTATCTCCTAACGTTATTCCACTGGCTTGTATAATTAATCTGTAGGTCAAGGACTAGGGCACTAGCCCACACAAAAATTCATTGATTTGTGTGCTGCATAAATATTTAGGCTCACTTCTACACTGATAATTGTTTAAATAAAATAAAGTGGGATGAAATATCTGAACAAAAATATACAATAAATACCGACTTTAACTCAGTTCATACCGACTACTTACGATTACTTACGCCTGTTACCCCCAATGGTTCATAGGCCGCACACCAGTTTTCTCCAACCAACTCTGTCCTGGGCTTCCCTTTCTAGTTCTTTACAGTTTTTGTTCATTCCTCTCATGTCTTTCTCTATTTCTCGAGGTAATATGTTCCTTGGCCTTCCTCTTTTCCTTTTGCCTTGAAGGTTCCATGTGAGGGCTTGTCTTGGGACGCAGTTTGGTGCTTTTTGTAGTGTGTGTCCTATCCACTTCTAGCGCTTCTTCCTGATTCCCTCCTCCACTGGAATCTGGTCTGTTCTCTCCCACAGTACGTTGTTGCTGATCGTGTCTGGCCAACGAATCCGAAGTATTTTGCGTAGCTAACTGTTAAGGAATACTTGTATCTTCTGGATGATGCCTTTCGTAGTTCTGCAAGTTTCCGCTCCATACAGTAGAACTGTCTTGACATTTGTATTGAAAATGCTGATTTTGGTTTCGGTTGAAAGTTGTTTAGAGTTCCAGATATTTTTCAACTGTAAAAATGCAACCCATGCTTTGCTGATCCGCGCCCTCACAGTTCATACACTTTCTAATAAAACCATAAAAATAATCTAAATTACAACTGCTAGCATTCAAACTACAGAGTTTTTTTTCTTTTCAACTCCCATCTTAACAGTGGTTACTGATTTTTTTTATGAATACTTTGTGGAATAACAAAATTTGTGAAATAACGAATTTCAACAGGACAAATATTTCTGAAGTCAATAAGTTGAAGTAATCAGAAGTCAACATAAATATATTTATAATGCTTTATTATTTGTGTTTTATCATGAATTTAAGTTAAACAACTATTAATTACTTGAATTCTAATTAGATGAAGAGAGGAGACGTTCTAATTGAAACTACTTGATTTAGAACTATTTTATTCCACGTTCAGATTTCATTTCAACTATTTCAAATTATGCAATTACGTAGTACCACTTTCTTATTTAGACCAACAGATACAACTAGAAAGAAATCAATGAGGAAAATTGACATGTGAATTAAAGAGAGCTCCGTTCACTAACTTTTAACGTGTTTGCACTTTGATTGCTCAAGTTAGTCAGAAGTTAATTGGATTGAAAGCATTATCATTGTATTAAATAATTTAATGTTATGTATTTACATTGAAGTGATAATAATTGATGAACTCGAACTGGATATAGCTTAAATCCTAAAAAAATCTTTCTTAACGAGATTTTTTCTTTCCGAATAGCTGATACCACAACCGAATTGAGCTATTTAGTGCAGCAACGAAATTATTATCAAAATTATCACTACCGGCCCGTTACACTACAGTGGCACCCAGTTGTGTACAAACATTCACTTGATTACCTCAAAGGCTGACCTTGAAGTTTAAAAATTTAACCTTAATAAATGATTAAAATAGAATATTACCCACTCAAAACTCCATAATGCGACGACAAATATATATTAGGAAGAAAAGCTTGTAGAACAGATTTTTGGAGTGGAGAACGATAACCGCAACAAATCAAAACGTGTAAAAAGATGAATAATTCATCTGAGATTTAAGCATCAACTCAGCGCTTCACGTACGGGTATTTACAGTTATTGCTTTCAATTGCTAACCAAGATCGAGTCATAAAAGCTAAACGCACTAATTGTATTAAAATGTCTATCGGAGAATGTTGACTAGTGTAGGATGAAAGCCACGAATGATCAGACAAAAGCATCGCATCAGTTCATTGACAGACTGACTCATGATAGTAGTTGCAGACTACTACCTGCTCGGGGTCCGCGTGATTAGCGCACCTCTGAGTTAGAGTGAGATTCGTAATGACATCACTCAAAATCATTTGTGAATGACCAGGTGAATAGATTCATTGTCACTCACTACATTCTAAGCTTATCGATTCATCACAATTATTTTTTGCTGGGATTTACTCTAACAATCTTATCTCTCTGTACTAATTGGGTATGGTATGTGCTTACTAGGTTCTATATTGTAACAGACTGATTGAAGATTTTTTAAAGGTGAAATTGCAGTGCAGAAAGAAGATTGGACGATTCTTAAAATCATAGCAAGAGTAACCAATGAACAAGATTCTTACTCCAGCCACTGAGAAATTGATTTCTTTGTAAGTTTACAATCCATAAAATAAATTGAAAGGAAAACTAACTAATTTACCAGTCAAGTAAAATTTATATGCACAAAGTAACCACGTGATACTACTAACACCACCACCTATTAGTCAGTCAACAACAAAATGGAACTTCGTACGTAAGTACATCAGTTCATGTTGCCATACCACATTAGCACAGAGATGTAATTGTCAATTCGAATCCCATAGTAGTAGAGGTAGTAGAAGTAACAGTGGTTATGGAGAAGATTAAGGATCGAATTTATTATTCAAGAAGTATAATTCAGTGAGATAACCTTAGATAAAGATAGAGATGATGAGGAATTCAGAAAGTTAGAATTTGAGAGAACACAATGAATGGAAACAGCTGCACCACTGCAAACGGTTTTGAGTCACGTAGTTCAAGGTCTCTAACCATCAATTACTGTCATCTCGTGGACCTCAACCAGGTTAGTTGACGCTCACCAACATGATTCAGTCCACTTGTCAGTGACTTCATGGATTCACGTCATGTTTTGGTTTGACCGTCCCTAGCTTTCTTCCAACCTACTCCAGCACCACAAAACATCGCTCGTCGAAGCAGTCGGTGGTTAGGCATTCGTAAAACATGTCCCAACCACCTCAACTGATGAAGTTTCAATACTTCATCTATTGATCTGCTATCCTTACCTACTATTCGTTTCTTAACTATAGCAATGCTTAATCGGCTGTCGCAGTATACACGAGCAATGCTTCGAAGACATCTATGATAGGATACTAATAACCTACGAATATCTTCTACTCTTACCGGCCATGTTTCGTATCTATATAGTGGAATGGAGCAAACTGCTGCGCAGTACACTCGTCCTTTGGTTAGCTAAGGGATATCTCCCCTACACCATAAGTGATATAAGTTGGTAAAAGCCAATCGGGACTTCTGTATCCGTGCTGAGACCTCATCACAAACCAGGCAATCAGCACTGATGAGACTCCCGAAATAATTGAAGTGGTCAACACGCTCAACTGTTTCACTCGCTATCACTAGTTCAGGTACCGATACAAGCCAATCCTGAAGCGTCATTTTGCATTTTGACAGGTAGAATCACATCCCGAACATGCTTGCCTTGTTGCTAAAGTTAGTCAGCATTTATACTTATACCACTTATACTCTGTGATGATAGAATAATCTCTCTAGTGATAAACGTTCTCAGCACAAAAGTGTTTTTTCTTGACAAAGATATATTTATTGTCCATTGCTGACATTCAGATTGAAAAAGTAAGTAACAGCGGTTTCATTTTTTATAAGACATAGAAACGTTTCCTAAAAAAAAAACAATACAACACATACAAGTAATATATAGAACGGAAAAAATGTCAAAGAACCGAACAGCACAGCTTTTTATTCTTCTCAAGTAAATAAAAAAAAACATAATTCAGAAAGACTTTATAAGAATTTTCCGTATCGTTTTTTTTTTGCTGGAGATCTTATGGTGTTGTTGTATTGACAGAATTAACAGTACTATCTGGTGACATTGTTGACGATGCTGAAACTAACTGACATAAACTCGGCATAAAACGTAAATTACGCATTAATAAACATCGACCATTCTCATATTCTCTACGTGAAACAAATAAATTCAATTCAAATCTAATAAAGTCATTCACTTGTTCTGTAGGCAAAGATGAACTAGTGACTTCACGACGTCTCATACGATGGAACGAACGATCCAATGCTTCAATACAAGCTGTTAACATATTGAGTGAATTTTGATCTTGTGCCATATTTAAAGATGAGGCTAAATTAGTGGTTGAATATATGGGACTATGATTAGAATGTTCTAATGAATTTGATCCAAACGATTTTGGATTGGTTGGCGTCACACTACTGCTACTGACTACATCATTGGAATTGTTTTCAGTTGAACTTTGTGGTGCATTACTAGGCATTGAAGGGACAGCTATATCTATTCTTTCATTGTCTACAGCATTTGACACTTGATTTTGTTGACCTACAGCATCAGGCACAACATGTTGTTCAACAGATGATGACGACTGGGAAGGTACTTGTTGTGGTGGTTCACCAAAGAAGCTTCGATTTCTTTCACTTCTCAGTACAGACATGAGATACTTCATTTGGAAAATGAAAAGATAACAAAGGATAAGGAAATACTATAATATCAGAAGAAACATTTATAACTATGACAAAACAGGATTATTTTGTGAACTTAATTTGAGAAAGAATATCAGAATGGTATGAAGTAACTACTGTTTTATCACTCCAAACTCTATGAACAATGGCTTAGAGATTGAAAGAGTAGACTTTTTTCCCAACCAATAAGTTACAGTTTCACATCCTGATCCATCTACTTCCACTTGAACAGCTGAGTTGTATCAATAGCCCATACACAAACTGCATAACCTATGAAAACAGAAGACATGGATAATTTTTCGGTTTTAGATCGAAGGTGTTTTCGAAACACTCCTAATCTAGCACAAAGTAAATCGGTTGATGACACTGGGAATGTCTATCAACAGAGGTGGTAGTGATATGTGTTATTTAGCCTCAACTACTCCCTATCTCCATGCGTAATTTTATATGGAGTAGGAATGGCTAAGAAGAAAACTAGGAGTATCTAAATCATGGAAATAACATCAGTCCATGAAGTCCTAGACTATAAGACGGAGCTATTCTGGTATGTTTAGAATATCTGGTCAAAATTAGCATTGTATTCATTATTGGTGGCTGGAAACGTTGGATGACAGAGGTGCAAATGTATTCATTCTCACTCTCTACCGAAATATTACAATTTAATACTATTTCATTTATCCTTTTTTTCAAACTACACTGTTCAATGTTTAACCGTTTCCATTGTCATCATTGATACCACCATTATTTCTGCACATTTGCCATTCATCTTATAAATTTTATCTTTCAGTGATGGAGCAGAAAAAGTTGAGCCAATGCATAGATTTGAGTCAATCCTATATATTGATTATGATTAACTGACTGACTGACTAACTGAAACTCGAATAAATAAACTTGTACTTGATAAATGAGTAACGTCATAATAAATCACAATATTTAATTATTAATTTGATGTAGTTAGACTCAAATTACTAACAAAATAGTAACAGTTATTTCAGTTAGAGCATAAATCAACTAGCGCCTGTATCACTTGAAAGTGACAACATCAGTTAATCTATTACGGAATTGCTTACAATTCATTATAAGTATAGTTTCTAGTTTATCAAACAAAATAAAATGTGACGTGATCCAATCGTTGTGTTGGTTGAAAAACTTAGTAGAGAGATTTATTCACGGGTACGTGTGTAGGTGTGAGATAGCCCAGGCTAAATAAAGGAAGCTAAATTTTTTTTGGGGGGGGAAGCATACTAACCAAGATGACAAGATCACACTACTTTATATGTTCGGTAGTTAGTGATCAGTAGGAAGAACTAAGTATAAGTCTTAAGATGGATACTGAAAACCAAATTAGGCGTGATAGAAAAAAAAAGGATTTGATTTCAAATTGAAAATACACTGGTTAAATTTACATGTCGTAATGCTCCTGATTGATAATCAGCCCAAAAATCTTCCAGTTGATTAAGTCGTGTAAATTGTAGATTACAAATAAATTCATTCGGTGAACGAGTTTTTAATAAATTCGATGCTTGTACAAAAAAATCAATCTGTCGTTCTAAAAAGTCTTGACGAACTGTTTGAATTCTTCTCTAATTATAGAAGAAATAAAAGAGGAAATAATGTATACTACTGGTAATCAGTTAATTAATGTGGTTTTTTCAAAAAAGGGTAGCAATTTAAAATATTTTTGATTTTTGTAGATGGTCAGGATTTTACTGACTTGAATAAGAATTATAAAATTTATTTTTAAAAAAATTCAATTCGATTAAACTCTATTCTCCGAAAAATGTATGATTTATTAAAGTGAATATACAGTTCGAACAAAAATTTAAGATGAACTAAACACTTATTATTCAAGCTCTATATCTATGCTACAAGGCAAAACCACAATTTGTGGGGTCGTGCTTGTAAAGTTCTTCAAAAATATAATGACGTGATTTAGAACACAGTGTCCTCAAAGTTTAATGCGGTCTAGATCTCCAGAATATTGCTCTACTCAAGGCTTTAAAAATGAATCGTCAAAACAACTATCATAATATGGACAGCTCCAAAGAACTTTAAAATACATACCTTTATAGTAGTAGATGACCATTTTGAAATATGTGGTATTTAGTCACCCACTGAGCCGATTACATGCTAGACATACCTAACTAACAACTACTTCAACGGGCGACGTTGTCTAATGTGTGCTGAAAGAAAGCTACGAGCGATCAAACAAAAACACCGCATCAATCCATTCATCCATTGACAATTAGACTGACTCATGATAATAGTTGCAGACTACCTACTCGACAACCGCGAGATTAGCGCACCCCTGGATTAGAGAGAGATTCGGAATGACATCACTCAAAATCGGTTGTGATAGTACAGGTGCATACATTCATTGTCTTTCACTACATTCTAAGCTTATCGATTCATCACAATTATTTTTTGATTTTATTTCATTGATTTATATTTTTTGAATCGTATCGCTGATGATGCCTAATCTTTTCTATCACCATTGACAATGTTACTAGGTCTACTACTCTGGGATTCTATCCCACATTATATGTGGCTAAAGTTATTCAGTCCTTAATTTTATGTAAAAACTGTGAAGTAGCTTTTTTAATTCTGATTAGTTTGTTTCCATACTATACTTTTACTTTTCACGCATATATATATAGTTTTGAAACTTAACTGAAAAAACATCACTCTGTGCTGATGGAGTATGACAACTGATGAACAAAAATACCAGGTTCTATATGCCGACTGACTGATATCAGTGTTTGGGTTAAAAATAATACTTCATTAGTAGATGTTTTCCAACACGATAAATTTATTGACATCCAAATAGATTAAGAAAAAAGTACAAACTATTAAGTATCATATTAACTGACAGATAACTTACTAAACTTTCTGTAGAAGGACCAAAATCAATATTGACATGCAGTTTAATATTACAGTAATAATGGATTACTGAATCATGTGGCGAGGTAGTGATACCTATTCCTCCACTTGATAAAACAACATGCTTTAATAGAACAGGAGGATTTGTTGAATGTTGAGAGACTACAGGAGGGGATCCACTATCTGCAAGTCGAACATTAGGTTGAGGTGCAAACATAAGTCCACCTGGACGATCCCCTTCCATGTTAGGAGGGTTGATGAATGGCACACGGATGCCAGGCATAACAGGGTGCATTGGCTCCGGAACATTCTGCTCATGATTTAAATTATCTACAACGCCTGGAGCAGCAGGATCTACATGTTCCTGGACCTGCTGAGGTAGTCGTCTATCTGCATTGATTACTGGTCGGTTATGAATGCCAGGAAATCTTGGACCGAAAATCCCTGCATTATTGTTATTATTTATATTATTTGGAAGATTCGATACCCGAGAAGGTAGTGTCGGATTAGATAGTAGACTTGGATTAGATAACTGATTCGCAGCACGTGAAACAGAAATCAAATGTGGGATTATAGCCAGTAAATGAAAAATCAAAGGATTCTTAGGAATAGAAGAGCTCTGATTGTCGACACAACCTCCAGTTTTATTGGTATTAAATGTATTAGGGATTACTGATGAAACACCGGGATTATCAAACGACTGAGATAAAGTAGTATGTAAAGATGCCAACATACTAATAAGTGACGCTGAAAGCATGGTATGCACAACAGGACCATTTAATGAATTGGAAATAATTGCTGATCGCACTTTGCCACAGTTTCGAAGAGGTGAATTTTCAAAATCACTAACTTGACATGTCTCTGATGAACATCCAATAGACCGGCGCCCTCGTTTCACAGATGCAATATTACCAGGACTACCGACAGATGATTTTCGCTTCAGACTTAATCTATAAAATAAAAGTTATTCGATAGAAAGACAAGATAGAAAAATTCAACATGAAAAATCCAAAATAAGAAAATGTAAGTGAATTATGACGGAAATGATAATTCACTGAAAATATTACTATATTCGTACATACAACAGAAGCGTAAACTGTATTTACAATTATAACAAGTAAATAATACACGCCTGTCACTAAAAACTACTGAACGCTATTTAGTCGCAGTACGGACCCAAATCTAAATTTCTGATACTGAACACCTAGAGGCAACTAGAATGACGCCAAAAGACTGGTAATGTGATGCGAACAAAATAAACCTTAGTAATATAGCATAAAGAAGCGTAGGAGTAGTAATTAACAAACGCTCGACCATTTGTGTATGATGAAACCGAGGAAAATAATCAAGTCCATTATATTCAGAGGCCTAAAGATCATACTCTATGATTTGTGAATGTTTACAACATAAGTACACTGAGCAGTACCTGGTCCAAGTCATTTTATCCGGTCTAAATCTGATGGTTAACCATACTGATTAGGATGTCTTGTTATTATACCACTCGATGAAATGAGTACAGGGCATCCATATTATTTCCAAAATCCTTGAAATTATGCTTAAGTATCTATTTTTAGGTCAATACATTTTAACTCTTCGGCTGATTATGATTATTCCATTTTGGTACAAAGATAGATCTTTAAAACTACAGGACATCAACTGCAATAACACCCTCAATTAATGATGTTACAGTATCTAGTCAAACATTATCTTGCAACTGCTAAAAATTTAAAAGTCAGGGACGAATATGAGAGAATTTCGGCTTACTGACATCACATCATTCAAAACAGTAGTAAAATAACTTAATAATAGTGAGTAGCTGTGTTATATGTTGGAGTCACTTGTTCTTGTTTTGTGAATATCCGTCCATCATTAGATCGACTGTAGTCGATAACTTAAAACTAGGTGAAATCATAGAAAATGTACTGCAAATTTCTTTAAGGCATGAAGAGTATTGCTTCTGGTTTAAGAAGCTAACAGCTCGACTTAAAAGAAATTCTGTTTGCTGAAAGATGATAAATAAACTCGAAATAGTTACAGAAAAGGTATGATTAGGGTAAGGTGTATTTAAACGATAGTAACCCAACTGAAATAAACTGGTTACAGATACATACCTTGTAACTCGTGATCCTTCAACTGGTTGACGTCGTATAATTTCATATGCAGGCTCTGGATGTACCTCTTCTTCAGATAATGTAGAGGAATATTCTAGAAACACATTAACTTTATCCAAAAGAACTAAAATTGAAGTTAGGTAAGGAGAACGTAGTATTACCTTTTTGCAGTTCTTCCAGAGAACAATTTGAATGGTTGGTATTGTATAAAATTGTATCAAAATATGGCAAAACATCTTGACGATCGATGTACTTTAGCATTTTCTGCATAGTTCTATGATTACTTTCATCTATCTGTCCACATCGATACAAATATCGGAAACCAAGCTCTGGCATACTCGTAGCCTGTGTAAGTTTTCTATTCCAATCTGATTGTCTAGGCATTAAATCTCGGTATTTATGCAGGGCCCGCTTAATATCTTTGTCAGAAAGTTTTGCCAAAATCCATCTATATAATTCACCCACTGAAACCTGACATTTCCACTGGCGACAGTAGCGCGGGTCTCGCTCAGCATCCGCAGTTTGAGTGGATGGCATTTCTGTATGAAGTGAAAAATGAGACAGATTTATTTTTGCCAATAACTTAAGGATATATAGTTTACGAAGTGATAGAAAAGCCTCAGTGCTAAATACAGATGTTTCAGTGTTTTTAGTTGATGACTTGCAGTTTGGCAAGGTTCTTCTTAAAAATGAGATAGTAGTACATTTATCCTGATATACAGAGTTTTACGTGTACTTGGAATTCCACAAACATTATTTTAGGTCGGACTTTGACTAATAATGTGAGTTCATATTTAGAAAAAAAGAACACATAAAAGGGTTACAAATCTGAAATTCAATGTAATTTATCACCAATTCACATACAATGTCACTAGCAGAAAAATCAACCCACTAACAAAAAATCAAATTCTTGATTTTTTTGGTTCAGTAGAAAAAATTAGTTACGTAAAACGACCTCCATTATACAGATAACTCACTGCAACAGTTTGATAAGTGCCATTAGTGCTGATCACATTATCTTTAGTTTTGTTTGGAATTACAGGTAGACTTGTTACAATATATATCGTCAAACATTTGCCTACAGCCGAGTGTAAGCAAAAAAAGAAACCGAGCAGATCCTTCTATCAATAAACAGAACCTTGGCTATTAACAGTAAACAAGTAGAAATTATAAAAAACTTGGCAGTCAAAACTGATGGTATGACAGCTGAAAAAAACGCTCAGTAAGATCAAAGTAGCGTACCTCACAAAAATGCCGCAATAGAATTTTGTGACCAATAACTGGCAACCGGTTTACATTTAGATGGAATCTATGTACATAACAATGCATGGTATCAAATAATGATAATAATCTCTTCTATCTATGCCACAGTGCTTAACTGTCCTTTTGTGGTAAGAGAGGAAGGGAGCCAATAAAGCTGTTAAAGATTATATGGAAATTGCCAATATCAAATTAGCCAAAAAACACTTCAATCTGAAGTAGGTTATCAAGTAGTATACATGGTGTGCAATATGAAACAGGCAAATTACTTTACACTTTGAATAGTTAAAAGTAGTTCTAACATTATTTCCAATATCCAATAACTTTTTCACGAGCTAGTATAAACCAACTGATTTATTTGCGATCGATTCTTGTTCTTTCGGTACGGTTCCAGTCGGTCAGTCAGTTGCAACGTAGAACTTTGTACGTAAGTACATAAGTTCCGGTTGCCATAACGCATTAGCACAGAGACGCAAATGTCAAATCAAATCACATAGTGGTAGCGATAGTAGAGGTATTAATGGAAACGAAAAAGACTAGGATTTGAAGATATTATTCAAGACGTATAATTCAGAGAGATACGTTTCGAAAGACAAAGATATAGGTGTTGACGAATCCAGAAGATCAGGATTTGAGAGAACACAAAGAATGGATTCACATGCACCACGACAAACAGTTTTGAGCCAAGTTACTCAAGGTCTCTAACCACAGATTACTATCATCACGCGGACCCCAACCAGGTAGTCTACAACTACCGACATGGCTAAGTCCACTTGTCAATGACTTCATGGATTTCTGCCATGTTTTGTTCTGACCGCCCCTAGCTTTCTTCCAACCTACTCCTACACCACAAAATATCGCATGTCGAAGCAGTCGCTGGTTAGGCATACGTAACACATGTCCCAACCACCTCAAATGATGAAGTTTCAATACTGCATCAGTTGATCTGCCGTCCTTACCTAGTAATCGTTTCCTAACGACAGCATTGCCTACTCAGTTGTCTCACGATATACGAGAAATGATTCCAAAATATCTATGGTCGAGTACTAGTAACCTACGAATGTCTTCTACTCTTAACGGCCATGCATCGCATCCATATAGTGGAAGAGAGCGAACTACTGCGCAGTACACTCGTCCTTTAGTCAGCAAACGGATATCTCGCCTTCGCCATAAGTGACGCAGGTTGGCAAAAGCAAATTGAGCGTTCTGTATCCGAGCTGAGATTTCGTCAGTCATCAGACTATCAGCTCTGATGAGACTCCCAAGATAAGTGCTTGAATTGTTGCTTAGGGTGGTCAGAAGACTGCATTTTGTCAGCGTCTTCACCGAATAGAACTATGTCATCGGCATATTCTCGGTCAGTAAGCGATTTTCCTGGTAGAAGGTCAACCCCTGAAAAATCTGACGAGCTTAATGTTAACTCTAAGAGGATGTCTACGACAAAGTTAAACAAGAATGGAGAGAGTGGACATCCCTGACGGACACCAATTGAAGTGGATAATTCCGGTGACAGTTAGCCATAAGCTCTCTCTTGACCAGTGGTGTTCGAGTAGAGAGCTTGTATGAGGTTAATGTACTTCTTTGGTACACCTTTCAATGACAGACACTGCCACAGAACCTCACGATACACTGAGTCAAATGCCGCTTTTAGGTCCAGGAAAACAACTATTGTAGGACGCCCTAATGTGTGGTCTGTGTTTCAGGACCTGTCGTAGTGTGAAGATGTGGTCTATACAATCACGTCCAGGTCGGAAACCAGACTGGTTTTCTCGAGTTTGCTCTTCACGAGTTCTAGTTGGACGTCTAAGTATAATGGAGGCTAACAATTTAGATACTATATTAGTTAGACTTATTCCCCTGTGACTGTCATAAGAAGACTTCTGTCCCTTCTTATAGATTGGGACAATCAGTGATTGGGACCAGTCAGATGGGATTATGTCCAGTTCCCTGATTCTACCTAAGATCTCAGTCAACCTAGCTGCTATACCTGGACCACCATTCTTGAACATCTCAGGGGTAAGCCTATCAGGACCTGCTGATCCACCTCCCTTTAGATTTCCTAACGCTTTCTCAACTTCATGTAGACTAGGAGGACCAAAATCGATTTGCCATTCAGGATGACTGAAGATCGTGGGCAACCGAAGTGTGGCTGGAGACCAGTTGAACTGATCCCTAAAGTGTTCTGCCCATCGATCCAGTCTCCTGGATTGAGAATAAATAATAGTCCCGTCATTTTCTGAGATAGTCTCACTTACACTAGGATTCCTAATACCAGTTTCCTTGATAAGTCGGAAAAGTTGTCTACTGTTGCCGATCGCCGCTTGCTTTTCCATCGCTTTTGCTTTCGCCACCCACCACTGTTCGCGATCGTTACGTAGGCTTTTTATAAGTCTGCGCTTAAGTTGACTTCGTTCTTCATCATGTTCAAAGCCAGGTGGGATGAGTTTTCGGGCATCCATCAGTTCGGTGGATGCTACTGAAATCCACGGCTTCATCCTAAACTTATGGTTTACCTTACTAGCAGATATCACTGCTATTTCCGCAGCCTTCTTGATGTCATTCCAACCTGCTTCCGGATGGGAATCACTTGCATGGTCGCCCAACTGTTTTTCTAGTTCCTCCTGAAATATTTTCTTAGCTTGATTATCATTAAAGAAAACTCTAAGAGGTTTTCTTGCGATATTTTTCTGGCGTCCAGTAAGGCGCAAACAAATACGCGCTCGCACTAGGGCATGATCTAAATCTAGACATGTTCCCCAGAACGAGCGACAGTCTTCTATCGACCCTCTCCATCGGTGGCTGGTGGCGATATGATCTTGTTGGGTCCGACGTTGAGACGACTATGAGGGTCTCCAGGTCAAAAGATGTTTTTCCTTATGCTTAAAATAGTGTTTGCTAGAAATTGTTGGTTATCTGAGCACAGTTGCAACAGACGGTCGCCACTGTTTGTTCTTTGAGCCGCGAGACCATAACATCCACCTAGGTGTCTTTCATTTTCACTCAGTCTACCTCTTGGGCATTGAAGTCACCAGCCAATATTACTATATCAGAGCGCCTAGCTTTTTGGAGGAGGTCCGAAAGCTTTCTGTAAAACTCATCTTTCACCTCGTCTGAACAGCAGTCAGTGGAGGCATAGGCAGATATGACGAAAAGGCAACAACGACTGGCCGTATCCTTCGCAGTCCTTACTGTCCCGTTTAGTCGGACAGCACACAAGCGACTATCTACTGGGATCCAGTCAAGGAGAGATTGTTCAGCTCTACGACTCAATGCTATACCTACGTTAACGAGACCCCTGGAAGCAGTACCAGGGCTACCGGATACACGAAGAGTAAATCGAGCGGCTTCTTTGTTTTGACAAGGCGAAATCAGATTAATGACTTTACTATGATCCTGTATGCGCGTTTCCGAGACGCAGCATACATCGATGGAGTGAGATTCTAAAGTCATAGCTAAGGAAGCCTGTTGCCCTATTTGACACAATGTCCGTACATTGAATGCTCCAACATGTAGACTAGAACGAGGTTTCAAGAGGAAAGGAATGACGTTTCGTAAACTCGCTTCGTCTGCATTAGCGGTGCAGTGAGAAAAGGGACTGTGAGTAGAGTTCGTTGTGGAGAGAAGAGAGGTGTGTGTGGGTGTAGGAAGGATTTGATTTTGACCAATTTGGTCTCATGTGCTATTACGGGTATGAGGGCGGTTGTCACTTCCCTGCTGCCCACATTGTGGAAGGGTGTTTCTTGAGGAACCTTAAAAGGGAGATAGATTAGTGTTGGTCTTGGAGACCTGGGTGCGTGACCTCAGAGCCCAAGGGACAACTGCTTAGGGCTGGTCACGCACGGCCTTTTTATGAAAGGTTTTTTGAGGATTAGCTCCGCTCTTGAAAACCCTTAGTGGGCACCCTTACCCAAGGAGACGGAAATCCGTGAGGTAGGGTGAGGTTTGACACTTTTAGGGTCGACCTTTTCTAACCCTTCCTTCCTTGTGAGAAGGCAGCATCGCTGCAGATGCTGGTTGTCCGAGGGAAACACTTTACGGCTGTCACACCCCTCTGCAGTCAGCAGTACGACATCGCCCTCAGACCCAGGGTAGGTACTTTTAGTCTCATCGTACTCCAATCGACCTGCCTGACATGGTAGAACCTTCAGGATCATATGTTCCAGCCAGTATAGCTCGGTTGGTTCGTGACGATAGGCAAGCCTGACCACCACGTCAAGGTAGCAGCTACGGTCTGGTAGGTACGGTTCCAGGTGTTCGGTAGTGTGTCCAATGAATGAGGTTGGTGATCCGAGGAGATGGCAATGATAACAACTAGCAGGTCCCAAGATATGCATCACGTACAGCCTCTCCAAGAGGAGGATGACATTCTGTACGTGAATACGTGATTATCAAGTCTCTTCCTAAAGCTTTCCATTTAGGGGGCTGTGGTCACCTCGGCTGGAAGAACATTCCAAGTTGCGACGACTCTCAATGAAAAAAAGTTTACACGGACCTGAGTATTCGCTCTCTGATGTGCAATTTTTCGAGGATTACCTTAAGGGGAGTGGTGGTGATGCATCGGTAAGATGCTCACGTTGGGATGGTTTGGCATGCTGAATATGTTGTACACCATAATCCGACTACATCTGATTCTCCTGTAACTTTGTAGAAACAACCCAAGTGCTGCAGCTTATCTTCATAAGGCTTATTTTTCAACCTTATCGCTCAGTTGGTTGCTCGTCTCTGCACTCGATCCAAAAGATTTGTCTCTTATAAGCAGAGGGTTTGTGACGACGTTGTGAACCTCCAGGTGTGGGCGCCCGTATCTCTTAAATAACGTTAAGAGTGATTGATGGTTGATAGAACCAATTTGTCTTTGCATAAAGTGAAGAGTCACATTTGCCTTAGATATGTGGTTCGGGCTTGTGTGGAGGCTTTCTGTGGTCATCAAACATAGATCGCACTCTTAGGAGACATTAAGGAGCTGACTTCCATTGAG